GTTTTTCTATCGGTCAAAAACCTCCTGAGAATAATGTTGAAAATTTACGACAAAAAAATATATTTTATTTATTTTATTTATTTATTTATTCCAACAGGAAACTATTTCCGGTTAAAATACACTAGTACTGTACAATAACATATTAGTTTCCACAGTCATGAAAATGGGGGGAAGATTGTTTGCAGGGTGGTTAATTGTATAATTTTTACGTAAATTTACGTTTTTCGCTTATAACTTTCCACGAGAAAACAGTAAGGTACTTTTTTCCGTCTTCAAAAGACCTACAAAACTAGCCCTCGAGCGTCAAAAAATATTGATTAGATCAAAAGTTATAAACAAAAGAAGTTTATTTATAACTTTTGAATTAATCATTTATAAACTGCTTTATCATAACCAGAACGTTTTGGCATTGCATCCTCTCATTTCTTATCACTGTCTAATAACTCACACGAAATCTGGAATCGGTAAGTCGAATAGTTTACAAGTTATGGCCTTATAAACAAATTAACTAATTATTAGTCTGGACAATCCCGAGGATCTTCCACAATCGCATTGATTTTGTTCATGGTAGATTTCATAATAATACATTGAAATCAATCATTTTTTTAATTTCAAATTTGCAACCTGGAAATTTTTTATATTTTTTAGCCTTAGTTGCAAAATGAAATATTTGACGTACGAGCTTGGTATAGTTATATATTATTACATATTCGGAAAGCTTATGAAAAAAGCTCAAGTTAAAAAAAATCGTCAAGATTCGTTGAAAAACAACGGAGTTACAGACTGTCAAAGTTGACGGCCTATTGTTAAACACATCAGAGTATATCTACGGACCGTCTTTTAAATGATGGCACAGGTGGTATGCTGTTAGTATTTTAGTCACACAATAAACATATATTGACTGGCCTACAAAGGCCATTTGAAATGTGCCATCCAGAACTGCTTTACGAAATGGAAATACTGCTGGGAAGCAGGTGAATAGGGGAGTACTTTGGACACCAGACCAATAATATATAAAATTATTAATAAGGTTTAAAAAAATCGAGTTCGGTTTTTTTTAACGTACCTCGTAGAGATGACGAAGTTCTACTTCGCTGCGATGTTTTTTTGTCAGTAAGTTAAGTTAAAGCTTCATTGACGATTTCGACATTTTTCGAAAGTCCGGCAATTAAGAGAAATCTTAATTTCAAGCCCTAATAACTGAAAACGAACGCAAACGTGTAAAATTTTTGTGAAACACGAGAAACGTGCAGTCTAATAACATTAGCCTTAAAATTGACATTTCAGAAATTATCTCCGTAATCCATCAAACAAATCACTACCAGATTTAAGGTAATACCCGTTAAACCGAATATTAGAGTTTTATGTTGTTTTTATTGTTTCTATATTTCCATAAAGATAGGATGTCGTATCACAAACTATTTATATTATCATTATTTACATACCTTCTCTTTCGGCATTGATAACGGATAGGTATGGAAATGCAGGGAATTAATATACACACGATAATCGACTTCATTAAAGGAAATACAGTTATTTGAATTAACCGACCTACCAAGTCTTCTAATATCAGTTAGGCATGCAAGAATCTTAAAACAACGTGCACAATCTGAAATTTAAATGTTAAAATCATTAGAATATACACGGTACAAAATTTGTTTTTGACCACTTGTCATATTTATAGATTTGTTGATATCTTTTCCGCATCAACAAATTTGACAATCTCTGTATTATTAAGATGTTTATTGTTTGTTCGCCAATACAAACATTTTTAGATTCGTGACATCGTGACACTACACGAAAACTAAGAAATATGACAATTATTATTATAGTACCACTCCTGATAAATCATAGCACGCGTGCAGTTTTTTTCCGAACCTTTTTTATGCCAGGTTTCGCTTGGATCCAGTTCAAAACTAATTTTCCTTTGTGATGATTCCGGATTAACACGAAATTCTGCCAAAACATTAGGTATCAATTCCCATTGTAATTTCATTAAAGGTTAACCTAAACGATTGCTTAAAATTGAAATCTGTTTTCACTCCTTGACAGCTTAATTTTTTCATGAAAAGGTCAAATTATTCATTTGTTACGTCACGGTATTTTGATTTTGAAAATAAATTGTAATTTTTTACTTTGGAGAGATGTATAACCTTATAGACAAGATACGCCTGTAAGAAAATCATAGTACCTATTAAATTATACAGATCTAGTAGGCGTAACAAATATTAAAAATAATGGAATTTATTTAACGTAACTGATGTGTCAAATTTATTTCAAGATCTTCAAATAACATGAAACGTATTATAAAAATGACCACCCTACATATAGAGTCGTCTAAATGAACGTTTTTCTTCAAATTTGAAAAACCCGGTCACGTGATTTTTAGATAAAATTTATTGAATAAAATGAGAAAAATAATTAATAATACTATTCGTTTAGAATAATAGGTATAGTGGTATATAGGGTGTTCTAAAAAACACTGACATAAATTCAGGGCCTGATAGAATTTCAAAAATATATTACTATTTATTCCTATGAACCATGGGCGTATCTTCTTCCGTTTTCTAGATACAGGGCGTCGAAAATAATTTTTTAGAATCTAGTTTCGGTCCTTTTTTCCACAAAATTCGACCCAATGAATTGAAATTTTGTTATGTGGGGTTTCTGGGGATGCTAAATGCTCTGGTATGCAGAGAGTGGCTTCATAATAATTTTCCTGAGCGTTGGATTGGTCGAGGTGCAGATGCTCCAATTCACTGGCCTCCAAGGTCAGCAGACCTTAATCCCCTGAATTTATCAGTGTTTTTCAGAACACCCTGTATATAGCAAGGAAATCTAAAAATATTACTTTAAAAATAAACCAATACCCACAGTTAAACATAAAAACACGTTCAAATTTATTACTGGCACCCGTCTACATATGTTTCTGATAAGAACAAAAAAATTTCCTGGAGTCAAAGCCCGAATAAAAGGTACTTACCAATAGATATATAAAAATTGAAATACGTAGATTAAAACTTTAGAGGTAAATGAATCAATTTGAAGCTGACACATGTTTAAATAAAAATAATAAATTGGGAATCAAATTACATAATACGAAAATACTAAGATACACTAAAAGAATAAAATGGTATCTGATTATAAATCATTATTACAAGTTTTATATCTACGAAGTGGGTAAAAATTATGACGAATTATGCTTAGACGAGGTTGGAATAGCACGTTGTATCACACAATGTACTCATGAACCATTTTAAAAAGTTACAAGTGGGTAAAGGTGAAGGCCTAGAACTATTAGATAATAAGTTAAAAAAGTATTTATTAAGCATAATAATCTGATCATATCATAAATCACAATTAGATTTAAGTATCTGCATTATTTAATACCAAACGTTCCAAGATGATTTTATTGCTTTGAGATACGTAAAGCTGATGTATATCCCCTATTGAAAAATTGATTTTTATTTCTAGAAACGTACAGAACAATTACCAAGTCTTACTCATTCGCTGGTGATTTGTTAAATTTGAAAATAAAAACCCAAAACGGGTTCTTCAAAATTATAATGTGGAGTTAGAATGTCCTTAGTATCTTAAAAAGTACCATTCAAAACATGGTACAAAAATATTTGGTAAGATCCACACCAGATTTCTTTATCTCATTGTCAAATGAATCACTACAAGATCGGAAATGAATGAAACCTTAAAAGTAGGCAATGGAAATTACCAGTAACATAAAATAATTACCACCAAACGGTTAACAATGCGAAATATTAACACCTTGTCCTTGTAGATATGTAAGCCACACCAACAACAATATTGACACAAATTGTCTTTCAATCTCATCTCAATAACATTGTAACAAATAAAAAATTCATATATTGGACAGTAAAAAGATACTTAGAGAGAATAAATGATGTTTGTTGCGATATTTCTTTGACATTTCCCGAGATCTCCTTAAATTTCTCTAGTTTTACCCAGTGGTGTAATACAGGTAAATGATACGGTTTTATTTCAAATAATGGGAATAATTTTTTGAGCAAAGGGTATTTTATTGCGCGTTAAAGCGTTCTCTACAATGAAAATTAAAATATGTAACTGATAAAAAAAATTAAAAATAGATGTGGCTAAGAGCATGTTTTAAAATTGTCTACTCTGACTTCATTTGACAAAGGTCAACACAGTTAATACAATTTTTTCATAGATGTCCGACCACACAAAAGCTGAGGGGCACTTTTATCGCAGCAATGAATTTAATTTAAAAAAAAATGGGAAGCCGTTCTTAAGAATCACAATTTTCCATTCATAAAGCAACACAATAAGTAATAGTATTGTTTCATACGTTTAAGTAGATAAGAGTTAGGTTAAACAAACAAATATAGGACGGCCATTATCTTTCTTTGTACTACAAATTCATAAAATTAATTGCCTGTTGATTTTAAACTAGATTTTGTATGTCGTTCATTGTTTGTGATATTTGAGGATATTGCCAAAGAAATCTGCCAAAAGTATTAAAACCTGTTAACATAAATTGGCTGGAATGCAAATCGGAATATTACCTTCACATATGCCCTTTCAAGCTAACATTTGAATTTCAAATTTTTATACCTTTATAAATAATATGAACAGAAGGTGCGTTTTCACTACAGGAAAATTGCGGGTAACCATAAACATTTTTATTGCAATATAGATATCTATAAAATATAAGATAATGTTGTTGATAATGTTATTGTAATTTAGATCACTATATAAAGAAATGTAATAAAATAATATACTTTTAGTATTTGATATTTAATTTCGATAAAAATGTATCTAGATAAGTTCTAGGGCGCACAGAAAAATAAAAAAATATAGTAGTAAAGAAAACGAAGGGAGCTTTGCGTGGAAACTCAAAACAAGGGCGAAATGACTAAAACAGTACGAGGCGTCTGATCAATCAATGAACTTCGGCAAAGCAACCCGTCTCCTGACACAAACCGCAAAAATAGGGCTCAACTCACCTTCTAATCAGCTGATCTGAGGACGACTCTAGTGTTCAAAAATAAACTCGGTAGCCATACGAACACACCGAACGTAGTAGATAAAACACTGATGAAATCGGACTTGTCCGTTTCACTTCTTTATGCGGTGTTCCCCTCCTTTTGTGGGTGACACATGCGCAGGGAGGTTGTTTTTATTTAAACCGTAAACATATTATGACTGATAATGTTCCCTGTAATATGATGATTGCCTATTTGGACACCCTCCTTAACCCTTCAAATCACCCGTTATTATCCCATTGATCTAAATATACTTATAGGTCGTTACCGTAGAAGACGACGTTGTCTTTGGATTTCGAGGGGTTAATTTCATTGGAAATTCATCCCCTGCTGAGGGAACAGCAATGCCTCTAGGGGATGGTGTTGATATGCGCGATCTGTCAAATAGGGACAAAAGTTTCTGAAGGGGCAAATTCACAACAGTCAAAAGCTATCGTATTTCACTCGAAACGATGGATTTTTAACCTTGTGTAAGTCTTATATCGCAATGCACATGCGACTGTCTGTTCTGGACTTATGGATTGTTCTAGGAACAAATCAACAAGATTCTAAAGTTCTTCGTCTTTTAGGAATACATTATTTCCTTTTTGAAAATTCCAACACTTACCGTTCTTGTCGAACACACATTGACAACGGGGAGAGGTGCGTCTAAAAACAAGACCTGGTACAAGTAACAGCTCTCACTTGTTTCACTTTCTTTGTACTTTCGTTTTTAATTAAGCGCCTCCGTCATTTCTTTTGATCCTATGCAGCCTACTTTGCACTTTTTTTCCATCGCACATTAAATATATTAATTGGAGATATGTCAAGAGAGCACAATACTCTACTATGTCCCGAAAAACTATCACCCTGTATATATCAGATAAAGTATTTCACCTTGAATAGTGACTACACTATTAAATATTATTTTACAGGAAGTTAGGCGTATTACATATAACGATAATGGTATCTACGTTTACATGGAATTTATTACAACTAATAATTACAATCGCTTTATCTTCTATTCTGCGACTTCCAGTTTGTGAACTAATTAGGCTTTTTTGTTCTAAGGTCAAAATAAATAAGATAACACGTTTTATTTTATCTAACAAAGCACGCATGATCGTGAACAATTGCTGTACATTCAATGGATTCTATTTTGATGTAAAGTAGACCATAATAAATTATGTATCTAGTAGGCTTTTAATTGTTTGCAAAACAAAAATTATATTCAAAATTATTTCTACGCCACTGGTATTAGGCATTATTCGAAAATTGTTAGTCGTCTTTATACAACAAATGTAATACAAATATACAAAAAATTTAATGTATTACATATATAGTTGTTATCGTAAACAATTTAACATACAACAAACACACTTTCTCATTGTATGTCACACCTTTTATAAAATAAATAAATGTTAAAATTCAGTTTTAGAAGAGTCGCAGAAAAAAATTGCAAAATAGATCAAGATTTATGGATGTGTTTATTTACCACTACAGGAATTTAATAATTATTATTTCTAGTATGAAATAGATAGTCAACAATGACAATGTTTATTATTTAATATGCAAACTGAATTTCTAGAAGTGCGTGGCTTATATGATTTGAATAAAAAAAATCTCTAAATTAAAAAAATTGTTCTCTTGGGTAAATATATCCAAATTGTTGACAATGAAAGTATAAACTATAATTTGTTTGCATGGCAATGTAATTTGTTAATACATATCTGCTTTATCTCTAAAGGTCAGATCAATTTAAACAAATTACACCTATTTGTATATATAACAGTTTGCGTGTCAGTAATTCAAGTGGATTAATAGACAAATTTTCTGTAGGGGTCCTTTGAAGTAATTAGATAATAGCAGTATTACTATTTTTAATATTCATTATTGTAAATAGGGTCTATTTGGGATAATGCCGTTGGTTTTTATGTTATGCGTTATGCTACTAGATGCTAAATTTTAATTTATAAAATTTCAGTTAAATTTATTAAAAGCTTTATTATGGCATGCATTTCTAGTACATAAAATATTAATAATTATATTAAACCAAAAAAATATGAAATATGTACCGAATTTACGGACGATGCTATTGCTGTTAACGATTTAAATCCAATCTTTTCACAAACGACTCTCAAGAACCGTTAAATACTCGGAATAATCTAGCGAAATACGGAACGCCGACATCAACAGAGAAATGATAACGATTTAGAAAAACAGGGAACGTAGCCACTTAAAAAATGGCAAATTTAAAAGAAGAAGAAGCGGAATGTAACCTAAAAATGTGAAAATTTCATTTATGTAAAAATAAATTGAATCAAATAAGAATTATATTAAAAAAAATATTACTTAATTATTCTTAAGTTTAAAAGGTAATACAGTTTGTTACATTGACAAAAAATATAAATATATTTATAGTTTATATTAAGTTAGATATGTTGAAGAGTGTGGAGACAATTTTTAAGAGAACCATATCACACAAGAAGACGCGAGTATTTCTCCTATCCACAGCAGCACAAACTAAAAATGAAGAAAGATTATCAAGTTTCCGAACAACTGAAAATGATCCGGTTAAGCATACAACCGACCATTTAAGTCAGTTCTATAAGGTCGACGAGAAGGACAAGAAGTCGCTTTTTCTCTATGGAGGGCTGCCCAAATCCTTTCAGCTACAGGCGAAAACATTTAACGAAACATGTTTAATGATCCGACAGCCAGCAATTGATATAATCAACTGTATTAAATCGATAGATTTCTCTAAGCCTGCTGTTAGATTTGTTTTATACGGTGAAATGGGCAGTGGGAAGTCACTGTCGTTAGCACACGTGATACATTATTGTTTTAGAAACAACTTTTTAATAGTACATGTTCCTTGGCTCGGCAACTGGATGCGAAGATGTCAGGAATATAGCAACTCCGAAACCAAAGAAGGGTTTGTGGACTTGAATATAGACGCAGCGGCATGGCTTTTACATTTTAAGACACAAAACACACATCTATTAAGTAACCCAGACATAAAAACGAGTGAAGATCATGTGTGGAGTAAACGTGAAGTAACACCTGCTGGTTCTCCCTTAAGCGAACTGGTGGAGCATGGTATTAACAGAGTAAAGTATGCCTCAACGTGTGCGGTGATCCTTTGTGACGAAATAAAGAAATTATCTACGCAGGGTGTATGCAAAACTTTAGTAACGGTAGACGGCTACAATGCTTTCTTCTATCCGAATACGAGGGTGTACACGGAAAAGAAAGAGGTTGTACATCCTCACAAGGTGACTCTCACGGAGGGATTCTTGAATTTAAGTAAATTCGATTGGAATAACGGAGTCGTAGTTCTTACTGTGGACGAAATTGCTATCGCCGAAAAGGACCAAATTTCACATTTGCCCAAGTAAGTTTATAAAAAAATTAAGAGGGTTTAAACACTTTTAGCCTATGTATTATTTGTTTATATATGTTAATAGTTTGTACACTTATAAATTTAGTCACAAGTTTAACAGAGTTATGCAACCCACAATATGATATAGGTTAACAAGCTTGTATTGTTGGTTGCAGCGTAATGGTCAAGAAATGTACAAGTTTAAAATACATCCTCACATCTTCGTTAAAAATTAATTCACTCCTAAATTTGGAATTTTATTTTAGGTACCTGCTAGGGAAAGATGGGTTTGCTCATTTAGATCCGTTTGTGCCAATTTCGGTGCCTAATTACTCGAAAAAGGAACTCCTCAGCTGTCTCGATTACTATAGGGAGAGAAAATGGGTGCGACCTTTCGAAGGTCAAGATGAAGAACTGTCATTTGTCAGCGGCAATAATCCTTATAAATTAATGAATATCTGTGCACCCTTGTAAAACTAATAAATAGCTTAGGCGAACATTTTTTCACGAAGTAATTATTTTTGACCAGCGCATCCTTACAATTGGAAGTTTTAATAGAAAATAATGTTTTGTGTGGGTGAGATGTAACCTTTACAGTCATATCTGAATGATCACAATGCCTATGACACAAAGCATTTTTCTGTAGCTACTGACAGAGAGCAACCTGCTAATGTAACCGTGACAGTTAGCAGCATAATGAATTCTGAACAGTACTGTACCCTGCAGTATCGTTACTTATAAAAAAAATATATAACTTAAAATTGTGAGCATACAAAGACACGTTTATAGTGACAAGTTCTTATATTGTGCATGATTTATACAAAAGAAACAACATAAACTATTTTAGTCTCCGAATTTAAATATATAACACTTAAAGATAGTTGCAGTAAAGGCTAAGTCCTAAAAAGTCTTACGATAAAATAAAGAACCAAGTTGGTATTTTATGTAGGCGTCATAAATATCGATCAGCAAGACTTTCTTGTAACGGGAAGATTAATGCTTAGCGTAATTAAACGGTACGTAGGATAATGTGTACGCCCGAGTCGGTGAAAACTGGATCTGACAATTCGCCCACCTTCAGACTAAAAGCGGCCTCTTCGAAGGGTTTCTGCATGGCGCCTTTACCGAAAGGTCCCAGGTCACCTCCCCGCTTTGCCGAGGAGCAATCCGAGTACCGGGAAGCTAACTCTGCGAAGGAGGCTTTGCCTTGAACGATCTGTTCTCGGTATGCTAAAAACGTTAATAGGAATTATTATTTGTGGGTCAAATATACAGACTAAAGACACACCTTTAGAAATTATCAATAAATGCAAATTATAATGTATTAAGAACTTACATTTTACTAAATCCAAGGCCTCTTCTTTAGCCCTTGTAATATTTTCTTCTCTCCAAGACGAAGGCCGACGTGAGTCCTTATGTTTGACCAACAAATGTGAGCATTGAACTTGTTCAGGTCCACTAGAGGAGACGGGTTCTGCAGGCTTGTCCGGGACATCCCACTGGGACTCTTTTGTATATACGTTTAAGTAATAGTGTTGGCCTAAAACCAAAAGATATATTTATCAATTACCTCTGAAGCTTTGAAATAAAATAAGTTTCGATAAGTTTCTTATTTACTTTTTTATTATGAATAAAAATAAACAGCATTACTTCCACACCTCCTTTATAAATAAAATGACCAGTAATTCAATTCTTAATTTAAGTATGGATTAAAAACTCGTTCAACTTGTAATCTTGTTAAAAACAGTATTTAACCAGTTGATATTATGCTTACCGGTAGAACGGCTCAAACGTTTTTCCCAACCGGTAGGTAACTCCTCGTCCGCCATTTTCCAAACGTAAACATAAGAATGCGCATTGCGCTGGTTCAATCACCGTTGTTAACTTCGCGCTGGTGGCTCTGAACTCGAATTAATTCGGAAGAATCTATAATGCGTCGATATTTCTCGTACCCGTATCAAAATTTTATTGGTTGTGTATGAATTCAATACTTTTAAACTATCCAATGGGTGAGGTGGTTGGAAGGGATACCACGTGTGAGGGAAACCTGCAACATTAGTGAACGTAGGCGCACAATGTTTAGTAATCAGCTGGGGCGGTGACAGTTCGATTTTGTGCGCTTTGGTTGTGAGACGCGCGCGTCGCTCGCGACACGTATTTACAATTTTAGATAGAAATTCTTTTACGGGACGAATTTCTGTAAAAATACAGCGTATATAACCCTATAACCGTTAATGTATCACATAGTTATAATCGAAAACGGGTGGAATTAAGAAAAACAACTCTCCAGCTGCCGATTGAGAGCCAGTGGTTGTTTGTGATTGTGTGGGGGTGGTCGTGCACAGTAAACAAATAGGATTTCATTCGTTGCGAAACTTCAGGTGAGAAATCGTTTATATTTGTCATTAATTATTATCAGTAATCCAAAACTAATTGAGTACGTAGGCATCGATAGCAAATTGTTTAAGTGGGTCAGTTACCTGTATTCTAAATAAAATATCGAAATTGATACTGTAGAATACTTGAGAGTACATTACAAAATCTTGTTTGTTTTTTGTGTTACTGTTTGTTCCGATAAAGATTGAAATTCACCTGTTGAAGTAAAAATTAACAGGTGCATCATAGCACAATGCTACCTGCTGAGCTCCCCTGCAACAATACTTGTTTGGTGTTCCGACTCGACTGGTGAGTCATTTTGGCCTACAGCGATATAGCTAGTGAGGTTAGTGAGGGCCTATATCAGACTAATAAGCAGGTATAAAGATATTTTACAGACTTGCACATTACAGTACAAATGAAATTTTATTTTAATTATCCTTTTTTATATATGTATTACCTAATACCTACAGCATAATTTTTCAATTTTCATATTTCAAATGATGCTGATGATGTGATTGTATGAGTGAAGCAGAAGCTAAATAAAGAAACAAAACTTTTTCGTGAAATGCAATTATCTGTAAATATATTTAATTAAAAAATAGGTTTAAATATATATTGAGAAAGTGGATTAGGTACCTAAGTATATCTTGATTTAATTTTATGTACTAATTTCACAGTCCAGTCGACCGAGGTCCAAATCCAAAACATCGTGATTGTGGTCATTTTCATATATGTAGGTATTTTTTTCACAAATAGACCACAAATATGTTGCAGAACAACACATTAATATGCACAAGCGATACATAGTAAGAAAAAAATGTTATTCATAATTTACGTCCTAAAAAAAATTATTTTTGGAAAATTAGGTACTACATTCAAACCCCTGTCTACTGAACAATAATTAGATAATTAGATACCTAATAATCCAATATTATTATTAAGTTACCTGCGACAAAAAAACATCTATCCGCCCCTACCAGTTATTTATTTCACCTGAATATCTCATCTCATACATTTATCTAATTATTATGCAGTTGCGAATGAAAATAAATTTTAAGTGTTAATTAATTTGCTGTGTCTGCGTACAAAAGAACCAGGTGATACCTATTCATTGTCAAATTTACATTATATCTTTGCTCGACCAATTGTCACCATTATATTGGATTCGCTTCATACTGAAATTTCATGGCTATCCACGATCAAAACGTCGAATAATCCGCGACGGACATTATTTTATGTAAAAAACGCAGTGTGCGAGGAGGAGGAACGGTCTATCGAAGGTCATTGACAAATGATAACTAGCCGTGGGCGAGTTGTAGGTACATTCTGATGTCATTAACATGTAAATTGTAGATGGATTCGGCTGGCGATTTGGTTTGGACGAAACTATGTATATGTTAATACATACCACCCGTTATGGTAGTACTGTGGGTTTCGTTATGTATGTACATGTCATAATATGTGCCACATATCAATAATAATTGCGAACTGTTTGCGTAAGAGCATTTTTTAGGCATCGCGGTTTCGAAATATACCTGACTGTGGCGTTTCGTGGCAGACTACATTGATCTAGATTTTTGACACGATGGGGAAACTAGAGATACGTTTCTGTTCCTCGAGAACTGTTTAGAAGTCATTTATTTAATGATATTTGTTTTAATGTTTTATGTTTTAATGGATATTTGTAAATCCACCATTAGAGTTGGGTCGGAGTATTCATTACCGCCCTGTTTACCCAAAAAAATTGCGATGATCCTTTTCAACTCTTTTTTCGAATGTCGCAAGTCAGTTTTCGTTGACGTAAACATACCTATCGTATTTAAATTTCAATTTCGAAAATCAAATTGTTGGTAGCACACTTTTTTTTGTTCGATTTCGAAAATGACCAATGAAATTCCACTTTAAACCTCAATTGTTTGATTCTGAATCACGTAGACTGTTCAATTGGCCTTGGATCGTTATTGCAATGATGAAAAAAACGATGGCAAATTCTAAACAGTTTCACTCCGATGTGTGTAAAACTGGAACCCACATTTTTTTAATAGCAAGGGCAAATTCTAAATATGTGGCGTGTTTATGTTATTCACTGCATCGTTTTGTTTCCAATGAATTCTTAAATAAAGGATTTGTCGAATTGGCCGTTTAGATTTAAATAAAAGTGAGAATAGAATTGTACTCATACATTTATAGATTGTCCTCGCTTTTCTAGATGAGGACTTATTAAATGACATTTATACAGGCAGGTATCTATGTTATAAACGTCTTGTATAATGCGTTTCGATTTACATATAAATTTGACATCTGTTTTTTTTTGGCTCTCGTTTCACCCTCCATTTGTATACATTCTCATTCTATTTACTTCTTGAAACCTTACGATCTTCCGTATCTCTCCGTCAAAGGGTACCCGGTATGTTTATAATTCGTTTGTGGGTCTCGTCATCGGCATCAGCACCACGTCTCATTGGGCAACAGCCTCCGTAGGTTGTGGATGACTAATTTCGTCGGATTCAATGCCAACCGGATTCATGACTAAATCGCGTTTGGCCAGACCATGAGTAAATCCACTTTTACGACGCTTGTCGTGTTCGGTCTTGTTACCAGATACTGCCTAGGGCAACAGGTAGATGCGTGACGTATTGCTGTTTAGATTACAATTGCATTTTTTCTCAATTCCAAATATCCAAATATCTGCCAATGAATGAATTTTAATTGGTCATAAATTTTAGAATCGGACGATCGATTTCAGTATTTACTATTGATGAGTATCGCAATTTCGATCGTAGTTGGACATAAATAATTTATTAGGGTACTTCGACACGACCGGAAATCGTTTCTGATTCGACAGAGGAAAACGACGTAAACATAATGGAATGACCTTGAAACAGTTCAGGTATCTAGCGAATTTTCCGACTGCAAAAATTTTAGCATTGTTTACTAATGACGGCAATGCTCTCATAAATGTTTAAAGGCCCGTTGAACTTTAGAAAACATAATTTAATGTCGGTTCTTTCTATGAATAGAAATTATAAGATATTTTTTTTATTTTTGACCATCGATCATAAGATTGAAAAAAAATAATTCGGAAACTGGGTTTCAGGAAACGAATATAATTTCGTTTTTATCTACAGGGTGTACCTATCTAAATAACACCAAAAAAATGTAAGGGGCAATTCTCTGATGAAAATTAATAGGGGTCTTTGGTATAAAATTTTTTGAAAAAACCCCTGAAAAATTACGCCCCCAAAAATTAAAAAAAATAGTTTTTCTTTTTTATTTTCCATGTATATCAACCTAATGAAACCAAACTTGGTGCTGCTTGGCGCGCCTGGTTGCGGGCAGGAAAATGATCGAGCGGCTTCAAATCGATGGAGCTGGAAAAATTAGCCATATCTCGGTTAATAATGAACCTATCGAGATAATTCTTTTTTAATTTGTGGTAGTGCGAAAATTCATGAGTATTGAAGCTATTGTATTAACATTATTTCAACCCGAGATTTAGTTCTTTATTTAGCTTCGCTCTTCCCACTCGTTCGCTAGACCGAGTAATAGAACGCATCGCCGCTATATTCTTTTTTGCAATTAAATAGTTGAATTCACCATAATGTTAATGTAGGACATGAAAATATAACTCTTAATGTATACTCTCCAAATTTCGACTCTTAATAATTAAGGACACTGCGATTAAATAAAAAAAAATGTCTCAGTTTCTAATCAACTTAGAACAACGATTTTTTTTTAAATTCGAAAATTAGTACTAACTAAACTACAGACGTCACTATTTCATTTTATAATAATTACCTATCTTAGCAATTTAATAAATATTAACACTTTTTCAGTCATTTTTAAACAAATTAAATTTGAAAAATTAAATTATCAGTAAATGCATATGTCAGTACAACTATTTAGGTACAAAAACAACTAATGATTGAAACTCTACGACGCCTTTGAGCTTGGGAAAAATGAATTGAAAATAGCATCTTCTTAGATAACAAATTCCGCCAACGCCAAACCAATGAAGCATTTGGGCTGAAATTTTTACCACTTATTAAGGGTGCAAAAAGCCTCAAAAATCCTGAATTACAAGTGTCTGCAATGAAAATTGCATTAATTATTAGCAATTGAAAAAAGCGGACATTTTCGACCATTTTTGAGCTCTTGCGCATAAACAAATTATCGGAACTTAATCGGACTTGTCTTATTTTATAGATTTATTTAATACCTACCTTTTTTGTATAAACCTTTTTTCTCTATGAATAACAGTTTTTTTACGCGAGTCAAAAAAACACTTTTCCATAACTTTGACCATTGTTTAAACAAAGTTTCCCAACTAGCCTCGAGTTGATTTTTTGATATTTTGTTTATAACACGTTTCTGAACAATATTCCGTAGAGAAACTTCTAATAGTATTTTTTTCTCGAAAAAAATCTGTAATGACTGGCCTATATTTTTAGTTTACTTTTATATTGAAATTTGGTTAGAACTGGAATTTTGTTTATTTCAGCGAAATGTATTTGGAAACATTTTAACAAGGGTTTTTCCAGAATTTTTATTTCGATTTTTTTCGTTTTTTTTTCGAATATTATTTTATTATTATACGTATGTATATACATGATATTGTATATTCATTACACAGGGTGCTCGTTTTTGCAAGCTGTAGCCATTGGCCAGAGTTGAGGAATTTGAAATGAATGTCTTGTTTTATTCGTTTTCAAATTATAAATATTTGAGACGGAGCAACTGTTATTTTTCTTGAAATTCCGCATTTTTGAATTCGGTACATGTTTCTGCTTACGATAATGTTTCATTTAATATTATTTACTTTTGTTTTCGTTAAAATACCGAACCATCTATTTTTATAAAGAGTGCTTCGAAAACAAAACAATTATTTTAAACTAATTGCAAATTTTCTCATGAAACAAAGATGGCTATTTTGAATGTGGGTGAGATACATTTCCTGCTGGTACAAATCATTGCTTTGTACCTTCTGTAGCCTATTGCAAAGCAATAAATTACTCGAGCAAAAATATTGTAAATAAATCAGTCAAAACGACGTTTATTAGTAACCACCCTGTATACCGTGTGCAATATCCAACGAAAATCTACTCTTTCGCGGTGAATTAAGCCGTCCATCTGGCTCCCCTCGGGTTAAATTTCATCTCGATATTCATAAATTTTCGGCTCCCCCAATTTGCAACACCGAACCCAATTCCATTCTGTTATTTATTTATGCAAAGCTAGCGCCGTCGTCTGTGTAGCAGGAAAGCTTTTTTATTCAACCTCTCTCACACCGATTAATCCAACGAAATGAGCAAACAGGTCAGCGCTGAGTGAAAGTTGCATATTTTCGTGGCGAAACGCGCTGCATCACAGCAGCTGTGCATTAATTATCGTTATGTTATTCGATTGTTGGTAATTGAAGAAATATTGTTAATTAAGGCACTTCTTCGTTGCGCATCGTCTGCAATGCTGTATACGACTAGCACAATGGTAGTACCAACCAACTAAAAATCCCTAAACCAATGCAATGCAAAACCACCAAAATTCCATCCTGCTGCAGTGTTCACATTAGAAGCGTAAAGTGAAAATTAGATCTTTTATGTATGCATAGTATAGTTGTTACGATGTCAGTTGGACTCTTGTAAATCTTAAAGCACAGGACCGTATGCAGTTATCCTGAAATTTCTTCTTATGCTTTGACCATGATGTGTCTCGTAATTGATACTCCAATAGCAATTCGGCGAGTCCGGTATTGGTAAACTAGTCCGGCTGATGTAGAATTGAAGGCGGCGCGCTGATCATAAAAGCAAACCTGTATTGGTCCACTAGGTCGTAAATAATTTTTTTGTATGGTACACGGGTTCACTTAGCTTTGCCGCTTTGTCAGTGCAGTAAAGAGCATTGCTTGGCGGGGTATGTTGTTGGTATAATACGTATTATTATTTATTAGTTGATATTATTTGTTCATATCGTAACCAGTAAAGGGTAATAGTTATTAAAATAAGTGTTAAGTATATGTAATTATCTAGTAATTTAGCGTGGCTTTCAGGAGACTTTTTGAAGCGGAGGATAACGAAATCCCCAAATAGTGGAACCGGTTTTTGTCGAAAGTATCGAAACAAAGTCAGAGTTTAAAAACAAAGATCAACTATTATATTAAATATATATGAATGTTTGAAAATTGAATTATCCCGTAATTAAAGAAGAATTGATCACGGTACAAAGAGAAAACGGAAAAATACAAAATTAAAGGAAACTGACAATTTTACTAGATGCAATGCGGCGCACAATTTATAATATGTATAAAGAAAATAAAGTTCCTACTTTAAATGTGATTCGAGATAAATAAAGCGATTATCCTGATTATAATTATAAATCTTTAGATATTATACGACATGCTTTATTACATTGCGATTTTAAACATAAAAAACTTGACAATCGTATGGTAATTATATGGTAATATAGCTCGGAATATAGTATATCTAGACGAGACAGGGCTAAATTTTTCTGAACGTCTATGGATTCCGTAGAATTTATGAGTTATGTTTTTATGCGGTTCCAATTGAGATCGTAACAACTATACACACAGAGTTATCCCACTTCTGATCTTTCCAAAATGGGGAAACACCCGAAAGGAAGAATTTATACCTAAACCAAACTTCCAACTGACCCAAACGTATGTTCGACATTTCATGAAATTTGCAGGATTCAATATCGCATTTGTCCGCCCCAAATGGGGGCATCTGCTTGATATGTGCGATTTCCCGTCAAGAAACCAAATATTTGAAGGGATTCCTCGGGAAACGTATGTTATTTCTTATTGAAGGAAATGATGTGACAGCGAAAAGGAGTCCTTGCGAATGGGAATGGATATTATGTAATAGAGATTGATAGAGGGCACTTTTCTGCTTTTAGGAGGAATTCATCGAGGACGTATTTCGTCCTTTGTATTCTCATGTTACTCTAGACTTCCGTCTCGAGACGTGGGAGTAAATAGAACCATTTTAAATCAGATTTTTCCTACAAGGACCTATCCAAATTTAACAGTAACATATTTATAATCAGTTTGAATTCATTCTTACATACATATATGATTTTTCGACGCGAAATGTTTTCCTTGAGATAAACTGAGATAAGTTTATTTTAATATATTTAGCTCGGTTAATTTACTTTAAATTTCATGGTGACGCCACTGGTTTCTCACGCAGATGTCGAACTCTAGCGATGGAGTTTCTAAATACTAAACAATTTAATTTCGCACAACTAGACTATACATGTTATATAGAGAAAACCTTTTCGCGTTACAAAGAATATTTTATTGGAATTTTCAACAAAGCAACTGCGCAGCGAGACGGATCCGACACGATAAGTCCTTTCATTGATGCAATGAAGCGAACCGGTATTCATGGAAATTTGTAATCCGTATTATCCAATAAAATGGAACTAGCGAACTCGTCGGTTTGTTTTTTTGCTCTGGCAGGTATAGATCTGTTCGAGGCATTGCGGACCGAGTTTTTGCCGTCGATCGATAGTTGGATCTCGAAGGAATCAACTCTGCAACCGAGATTTTATGTATAAAATTGTCAATTATGTATAATGCTCGCTTGTTTGAAGTAAATATAATACAGGGCTTCATAAATGATTGCAAGCAACATGACCGTCGGGCATAGGCAACCAAAGTTGCACAATTGGTGTTGTAAACTAAAAATCCCTTAACCTCGGTGGAGTGGTACCAGTATTTTTGTTCATTATCCTCGGATTAGGATTGTTAATGGATTGGTGCTACATTACTACTAACAATAATAGGTAATTTAGTAGGTGGGTAAGGGGTACATAGTAAGTTAAAAAAAAAAAAAGAAAAGTGACAACATTTTATGACTAGGAGTATGTTAAAATGTGCAGAAGTCCACTTACAAACAACAACTCTCGTCCGGCGCTGCAATTTATTGCTAAGCACTTGCACATTATTCGGGACGAGCTATAACTGCTTCGGAACTCCATAACGAGTCTATTACAACAGAGCCCGCATTTTCGTGATTTAGAGATGAGCTTGGGCGGTGCAGATGACGCTGCAGCAATTATTATCTCTGTTCCACATCGGAAAATCAATGGGACCCTTGATTACCTATTGTTCCGATAACAAGCAAGGGTATTAGCAGAATTATTAATTACCGATATTCGTTATTTGGTCTGTAATTTATAACTGGGAGTTCATTAATATCGAAATATGTTGAACATTTCTGAAATATTAATTAGTTGCCAGAATTCATGTTTTCAAACAGAAAAAAGCGTGGGTTCCCTTATAATTGTTGTTTTTGTGCCCATTTCTGTACAAAATAATGTCTAAATGGCAATGGAGATGTACATATACAGGGTGTTAGACTGCCAATTTACTAAATGTTTCACAATAATAGTTGTTTACATTTTTTCCGTAGGACAAGTTTGCCGCGCGCACACGTGGTATGCACCAGCTATGTAGTGTTAGGTTAAGTGCTGTTGTCACTTTGTGATGAAACTCCCCAATATTAATACTCGCTGTATATTGAAAAGTGTTAATCTTACGCCCCTGTAATATACTTGTGTGTTCATTTATGATTACTCTATCTCATATTGAAGTAATGGCACTCAAACTTCTTAAACCCTATATTTATCATTGTTTTTAGCAGTGCTTTTATTTTAATTAAAATATGAAACCTGCTATGATTTTCTCATGTAAAAATATAGAGAAAGAGAAACTAATCCTCTACACTTCAGACCCATCTCAAGCTTTATTCTTCTGATGAGACTATTTGGCTGCAATTTTTATATTTAGATTAACTTTTGCGACATTCTGCGCTCCAGATCATTGTAATGCGTGCGATAAATGCTGTTAATGAATTTTAACTGCCGCAAGTCGCTGCTATTTCGGGGTGAGACAATTGCGTGAAATGCATCTTAAATTAGCCGACTATTATTGTTGTTAATTTGTGATTCAGTTCATGGTCGGATGGGTTCGTTTCCCAAATATGGGCGCTATAAAAATTGTACAGTTTTCTAACGTCATTATGAATTTATTAAACATTATTATTGTAAAAAGCGAAGGATACTGATGAAACTTATGGAAAAGACAGTGAATCCAATGACCAACATGTGTGCTTAAGGCCGATTCAATTGACCGTGAAATTGTTGCTCCAGGTATTTGTTAATTAATTCCGTTCGTTTTATTTTAAACCTAATGGTTTAATCACTAATTTTTAATTTTAGAAGTTAATATCGTAGATATAGGTTCTAAGTGATCCAAACAAAGGTCAAGAAATTTGAAAAAGTGGAATGTGCAAAACAGCATTGTAAATAATTGTCCCAGGGTCGGGCAAAAGCCGCTCGGGAATTCGCTCTTTTTGCATTAAATAGAGCTTATTTTTACGATAATTAACAAAAAGAAATCACTCACGCCTCTTTGTTGCCAAGACGGCTTTATTCTTATAACGTTAATTGTTCATTCGGACCGGGATTTTAGAGACAATTAAAGAAAGGGTTAAACTTTTATTTTCAAAAAGTTTTACATTGATAGTTCACGTAATAAACGCACTAGCAGCAGTAAAAGTTATGTTAATAAAAGTTTAACCCTTTCTTTAATTGTCTTCCGATCTACAATTAACAAATTGGTGAAATATAACTTTAGGTACCTTAAATTGTAGGTAATTTAATTGCCTACAACATAAAATAACTAATTTTGCCCTTCAGCGTCATAAAGTGCAATCAAATATCTACTAATATTTTTTTAAGTTTTCAAAGTTCATGATTTAATTCGACTGGACTAACAATACACAATGAGGTTTTATTGGCTCCACACATTTTACTTTCTATTCTTCTACGCGCAGCTGTCGTAAATATCTTTAATGCATGTGACATTTGATATGTTATTGTATGTACATATTTTATTTTTTACAGATTTCTACACGTCGTTAAGATTAGCAACATAAATACAGCTGGTGAGTACTTGCTTACATTTTCTTGCCTTTAATCACAGCAACATTATTAATATTTCAGCATCACGTTGCAATCATAATTTTTAATAGATTTACTAAATACCGTCAGTTGTTCAAACAAAAAGCGAACATTTACGAAATTCGAAAGGAAGTCTTAAATCTAAACGAAAGTTAAAATTAAAAAAAATCATATATTTTTAAGATCTTCAATTGTTTTGCACAGCAGCAATTTATCATTTTTTCCTGCGCTTCAGGCACAACGAATCGAATATAAAAAAATATGTTTTCGAATCTCTCTGTTAGTTCCCTTCACAATAATCAGTACAGAAAACATCCCCAATGGAAAGCTCTTACGGCGCCTTCCAAGACTCGAAATCAATCATTTTTTTTCGCGCCTCCGCAACCTTGCAGTATTAATGAGTACCATTAATCTTCCCCGGTGAAACGCGAGGGTTGAGGTGCGGTAGAATGGGCACCTGTCTCCCTTTATTTGAAATCGTATATCATTGCAGCAAGGGTGGTCACTTGGCCCAGGGACATATTAGGGATTTCTTGACGTCTGTGGTTTTAGGCCCCTTTTCAATTAACTGTATTACACCCCAGTGTAAATAGTTATATTGGGTTATTTTTCACCGCAGCCCCAGGATATGTCGCGGTTGCTGTAGCGTATTATATCTTGAGGAGCTTTGTAATATTAGATGATATTTTTGATTTGTCTGAATAGTACAGTCATTGAATCTGAAAATCAGCTGTAACCTTCGAATTCTTTGAAACTGCATTGATTTGCATGAAAATTTAGAATAAGGCACAAGTGCTCAAGTTCAAAAGTGACATAATTGACACTTTTTGTTTTTTAGGGGTAAAAACTACTCCTAAGTGAAAAAAAATTGAAAAATTAAGTTTTAAGCATTTTATTGATAAAAATCTTATTCAAGCACAAAGATTAAATAATGTTTCATGTTCTCGAACATGTTTTATGATATATTTGATCTTTTCGACCCGATATTTAACCCTTAAAAACTACCCCTGTGCAAAAAATGATAAAAAATTACTTTTTAAAGATTTGAAATGACTAAATCGTGCAATTATTTAAAATAAAAGTTACCTAATAGCCAATAAAAGAATTTTTCCCTTTCAACCCCTAAAAACCACCCCTGTATTGACAAAAGTTATCAAAAATTACTTTTTAAAAGCTTGAATTGCTTTAACGGTGCAATTATTTAAAATAAAAATTCCCTCATTGCTTATGAAAGAATTTGTATCTTATAACACCTTTCAACCCTTATAAATCACCCCGGTGCTAAAAAAATGATAAAAAATTACGTTTTAAATCATGGAATGCTATAATTGTGCAATAATTTAAAATAAAAATTCCCTTATATTGTTTATGAAAGAATATTTTACTTTTGCAATTTTCAACTCTTATAAACTACCCTTTTACCAATATTAATGTAAAATATTTTTATTATAATCGATTTTTAAATATAATCAATCATAAAAAAATTGCTACGCTGCGTATAAATAATCACACTAAATTTTTTTACTTATTTTATTTGTATAATATAATATATAATATATAAAAATGAGAAAGCCTAGTTGCCCCGAAAAAATGTCATTGTGTTTTAACCATAACTCGGTTAATTTTGAAGCTATAGTATCCTACAAAAAAGCATTTTAAAGATAATTTCAAGAGCTGTAAGATCATATAAAACCTTTTAAGTCCTTCGTTTTTTAAAAGGAAAGGATCGAAGGGCTCGAGACAAATGGATACTTCAAGCGGCGATATCTCCTTTATTTTTTATGCTATAGGAATAAAAAAAAGCAAAATATTTGTTGAAAAAAAACTACATTTTTACGTATCTTTCATAGTTTCAGTGTTCTTATATAAATAAGGCAATTTTTTTTGAATAATGAAAAATACGTTTTCAATTTTACCGTACATTATTAAAAAAATACGCATTCTAAACCGATCTAACTTCAGGATCGTATCAACATTTCAAACACTAAAACAAAACTATTTGTAAAGTGTCTACGATTAATTTTAATTGTGATTGAAATGGTACAGCGTTTACTGCTCATTTTTCCTTAAAAAATATGAGCAACCCATCTGTTTTTGACGATAACTCCAATTTTGCTCTAATTAATTTTTATAAGTGCTTATTTTGAAGGTCTTTTTGAGTACTACAAAAAACTCCAGGAGCGTTATACACGTAAAATTAATCCTTTTTCCGTTATTTGACGTTGAATACATCGATTCGAGTATTTCCCCCAAAACAAGTCCCCTTCCACTAACCATATTTCGCTTTGTATAGGACGTACAACACTTTTTAAAAAACGATTTTCTTTGTTTATTTATAACCTACATTTTTGTTCATTACACTTTTTTAATAAAATGCGTAGTTTTTGAGATATTCGCGAAAAATTCTTTGAAAAAGTGTTTTTTTTTCACTCAAAATTCCAAGTTTTCAATCGTGAATAACTAAAAAACTATTGATTTCTAGAAAAAATTATTCGAATATTTTTTGCTCAACAATCCACCCCCGAGAAGGGGTGTTAACCCCCAAAAGAGTGGAAGCGTCAATCGGCGCTATGTCACTAATGTTCATTGACCTTTTCTCTATCTATCGGCTCAGTTTCAAAGAATTCGTAGGTGAAAAGCTTCAATGACTGCACTAGAAAAACAATATTCATTTTCTCAAATCATTTGGGACTGGATGACAGGGAACGATAGTCATTATTCTACCAGTCGTAAGTAAAGGAAGACATTTATGTATAATTTAACGTTCCTACTAAATTAAATACATATAATATAAAATGTAAAATAATATAAACTACATTTAATAAAAATCTAACTAGGCTACAAACTAGCCTTAAACGACATAATATTTATGTTGTTAAAAATTCGTATAAACAGTTTTACAAGGACTATTTGGTTATCAATGATTTTTCGACAAATTGATGGGAATTGGGAATTGGTCGACGTTTGAACTCGCTTCAGGACCGCTCAGCTAAGTCTTGAAGTGGATTCTCCGCAGGATCTACTATCGAAATAAATGAAATTGAGTTTGGAAACCGATATAAAGAAAACGTAGGGACGAAAAAAATTGAAATATGGACCATATATAGCCTTACTATTACTCTATTGTGTGCTAAATTTTCAGTTAGTTTCGTTATCCCATTTTTTAGTTATTAATGAAAATGTTGAAAAAATCAGGGTTTTCTGCCTACAAAATTCACACCTCTCACTTTAACTCGTCGTAATTTTTTGTTAGTCGATAAAAAAAATTCCAAATTTTTCTTCTTTTTTTTATTTTTTAGCAAAACAGATGTCAGTGCTATCTCCGTAAATATTCAGTTATTTAAAAAAGAAAATAACTGACAGGTAGTAAGTAACTGTAAACAACAATCTGAAAAAAGTTGCAAAAATAATACGGTTATAAATATGATATTCTTAAAAACAGGATCGGCATGATCAACTAGTTCACGGTCCGATCGAGGAGTTCGAGGTAAGAGGTTCGCTGCAGTGGCAATTATTTCGATAGTAGTCTTTTTGAATTTGAGCGATTTCTGGTGTTGGATTCGAAACATAGGACTTTCTAAACATCTCTAGTGTTTCTTTCCTTTTTAAGGAGGCAAAGTCATTTCGGAGACAGCAGCTGTTTTTTACATTATTAATTTTTCAAATATAAATTCAAACCAAGATCACGAGACAGCCTAGCTTTGCTTACGAATCAAGGTGATAATCAACGGTTAAGTTTGCCACAACGTAATTTTTTGTCAAGGGTTAATTTAATCCTTTCATTTGCATTATCTCCGGCCACAAAATTCCGCTTAATCCGTCCGACGAAGTAGGTCACTTTTTATGTCCATTTCGTCCCTTCCGTTGTCAAGAGGATTAAACCTAATGTTTATTTTTAACGTATTACGCTTAACCCGATAAAAGGACGACAGGAAGCGGACGAAGTTGAGCGGAAGACGTCGGGGAGGGTGACGTAGCGGGTGGATTTTAATCAAGACTCGCTCTCCCAGGAAATTGTGTTATATGTTGTTAGGTGTATATTATATTAAGGTTCTTGTGACTGTCTTTGGGAGGTGGTGGTAGTGTCCTGTGAAGACTGCATGAACTTCAAATTTCAAGCGTTCTCGTTACAGGCGATCGTACGTCAACTTTGACCACTTACAGTTATGTTCATGACAAACTAAAATTTATATATTTATATATTTATATATTATTATAGAATTTATATATTTAAATTTATAGAACAATATTGACTTTTATAGTAATTGATAAATTAAAATTATATCGATGTTACTGAGCATGCGCGTTAAAGATCGCAACAGGATATCATTCAAGAAAAGTTTGGTTGAAGAAATAAATACTTGATAAACACACTGGCACAGTACAGCACCCAGACAAACATTAAAAAAATTATATAATATAATAATATTAAGTTTATATACAAAAGTATATGACACATTTAGAACAAAATACATTACAACATAAAATCGTCAACATGTATAAAACGTTAATAAAATAAATCAAAATTACAAAACAATGATATAACAGAACTTATGCAAATAAACTAGCGGTAATACACTTCTACATACATTTATCAACAGATAATATACAACACTTCTTTGGACATGTACCTATTTATGTATAAAACACTAGACTCAATTTTTTTAACTTATGATATTACGAAATATTTCTCTGCCTTTTGCATGAATCCTTAGCTTTACTTTATGCTTAAAAGAGCTATATACATTTATAATTTTAAGATTATTTGGTAAAATATTATACAACCTAGAAGCCAGATAGTTAAAATTTCTGTCCTATTGTTTTTACCGACCTTGGATTAACATAATTGTCTCTGTTTCTAGTACTATTTGAGTGACTTATCGATTGCGGAATTAATATTTTTTTTATAGGTTTTTATTAAAATATTGAAACAGAACAATTGTCGGATATATCCATTAAGCCGCTTTCTCTAAATAATTGAACG